GATGCTTTAGGGCGGGGCTACACGGTGATTGACAGGTCTCTACCACATCATTTTAATCTCACAACTTTAACTCTTTCAGTGTGTTTTAATTTCATCAAAGTCACATTTTGGTCCTAAAAAACGTCTGATTCAGTGTTTAAAAAAAAGATGGCGACAGCCGAAACACTGAACTGGAGGCTTCAAAACGTCCACGAACCAGCTGGTGACGTTACAGTGACTCTTCTTCTTCTGTGGTCGTGACCGACGAAGTGTTTCCTGTAAGTTTACACACAACGAACACAAAGAAGCTCCATCATCACATCACGGGATTTGATTGGCTGTTGAGCTGTGATGGTTCATGCTGCAGCAGAACTCTGCTCACACACAGACGCACACACACACACACACACACTTTTTTATGAATGAGACACACACGGTGATGCCATCAACAAGCCCCTCCCCCACCGATGCGGGAAAAACCTCTCTCTCTCTCTCTCTCTCTCTCTCTCTCTTCAGATGGGAGGGAGAGTGAACGCCCCCCCCCCCCTCTCTCTCCTCTGTCCTTCACGAGCCTGAGGATGAGTAATCCAACGAGGGAGGAGGAGGTGAGGACACCAACGCAGCATCAGCACCACCATCATCATCAGGATGAACATTTACACCCTCTGAGCTCAGTCACGACGGAGGGGACTAATTCCTGGAATGTCACACGCTTGAAAGCATCAGTTTGAATCAGTGTTTTGTGTGAAAGACACCGGAGCTGGCTAATCGCTGGAGTGAAGGGAGATGAAGAAAGGACCAAAGGAAAAGGTTCTTGTGGAGCGTCACTGACTAATCTCTGGAAGAGCTGGCTGGTTTCAGTGGATGATACCTGACTACTTCATGGACAGGAGGTTAATGGTGTCATCCTTTGGATTGTGGGGACAGACTACTTCCTGAACAGCACGCCTCCTCTTTATATATTCATCCTGCTGTAACAAACCGGCGGCTGAGAGAATCTGCCACTCCTCCACATGTGGTGCTTCAGAGGCTGGGATCTGGCTAACATCTGGAACCATTGACCCATCCCAGTTACTACACCACCTCTCTGTGGACCAGGTTAATCTCTGGATCTGTGTGTCGGGCATGTTCTGCTTCTGCCTGCAGAGTTCTCTGCTGAAGCTCCAGGCGCTGGAGGTGGAGGGGGGCTCTCCTCTGGGTCCGTCCCCAGAGGAGAGCCCCCCTGTCCTGGGCAGCAAGGAGCAGAAGAGCCCCTGTGGTTCCGTGGAGCTCGGAGGGAAGGAGGGGAAGACTCTGTCTCTCTGCCACGGGGACCCTGATGAGAACAGTCCTCCAGGTACCTGTCTGTCTGTCTGTACATACACCTGTCTGTCTTCCTGTACACAGCTGCTACTGATACTACTACTAGTAAGCTGGTATCAATAGTAGTATTATTATCAGTAGTTGTATCAGTACTAGTAGTAGTATCAGTAGATGTCTCTGTGTGTCTCTGTAGACCTCCTGACAGTCCTCACCAGACCTCCACAGTCCCCCAGACACCAGCCCTTTACCGCCATCCAGCCTGGCCAGCAGCCTCTGACACCCGACGGAGCTACGCCCCCCGGCCCTCACCCCTACTCCCCTGGGGGGGAGGGGGGAGGAGCTAGAGGAGAGGGAGGAGCTCTCCTCCAGCTTCTGGCCCCTCCCCCCCCTGGAGGAGGCGGAGCTCTCCTCCAGCTCGGCGGCCCCACCCCTCTGCCCTCCCCCCGCTGCTCCAGCCTCAGTCACAGGTTCAACTCCGACCCCGACAATGCCCCGTCACCGCCCTGCAGCCAGCAGTACATCCAGTAAGTCTGCCTGCCTGTCTGTCTGCCTGTCTGTTTGATGGTCTGTGTTGGACCAGACTAGAACCTTTTGGTTTTTACTCAGGACTGAGCGTGTGTCTGTCTCTCCCTCTGTTTACCTGTCTGTCTCTCCTGTTTACCTGTCTGTCTCTCCTGTTTACCTGTCTGTCTCTCCCTCTGTTTACCTGTCTGTCTCTCCTGTTTACCTGTCTGTCTCTCCTTCTGTTTACCTGTCTGTCTCTCCCTCTGTATGTCTGTCTCTCCCTCTGTATACCTGTCTGTCTCTCCCTCTATATACCTGTCTGTCTCTCCCTCTGT